GACATGTACACAGAGAGAGAGAGACACACACATGTGACATGTACACAGAGACTCAAAATCTATCCGTTCCCTCACCATCTTTCTCTTCACAGCGTGTTCCCCGGCCAACAAGGCGAAGTGGGAAGCGAAGGCCCAGGAGGGACACTAAACGGGAGACGAAGGGAAGGAATGATAAACACCGAGAGACAGAAGAGAAGAGGAGAAATGAGGGGGTGACGATTAAAAGGAAAAGGGAATGTATGATTTTTCTGTAGATATTTTTTTTTTTTCCCCGAAGTAAACATCAGATTTTTTATATAATTTTTTTTTCTTCTGTAATATTTTAATGTTTTGCTGTATAAAGTTTGGAAATAAAAATATGTAATAGAATTATTCATTTTTGCCCTTACATTCATAAATCAATTAAATTAATAAACATAAATTGATATTCATTTAAATCTTCATTATGCAAATGATTCAGATTTAAATACAAATATTTTTTCTTTTGACAGTTGTATTTAGAATCCTAAATATATTTAGAATCGATTTAAAATATGACGATAATAGCACATTAAAGCTGTTTCTTTCGAATCTTTTATCAATTCAAGGTAATTCGTCCTTCATTTGTTAGTCGCCATGAACATTTTATCCAAAATGCGTCTATCAGACCCGAGGAGAGAAATGTGGGTACAGGCAGGTGGAGTGGTAATAGACGAACAATCACATGATATATCCGTTTTGTAATCGTTTCAGAATTCAGATTGGTAGGCTACTTAAACACACACACATTTGTAGGCTATGTCTCCACGTTTTACTTTTGTTCATGGTTAATGGCTAAAAGCGAAATAAATGTGCTAGACATCTAAGGTCATATAGCACTATATAATTTTGTTCCTCTTGTTACATTTATAAATTTTTCTCCATTTCTCTCTCTCTCTTTATTCCTCTTCTCCATTTCTCCATATCTCTCCTCCTTTCTTGTTTATGCATTTTTGTAAATGTCCTTATTGTGTATTTCCTTATTTTCCATAAGTGACAATACAATTTCTGTGTGTTCGTCCATGTGTCCCATATCAGTACTTGTATGTAAAATCGAAACAACTGGCCACGTCCTTATATATACTATTAAATGATTAAGTCAAACAAACTCCATTAACGTACACATTTTAATGTAAGATTTATGAAACATGATAATGGTAGGATGCAATGGTTAATGGTTAAATGTCTTAGCACTTCTTTTTTTTAAGGCCATATAGCACTATAGGAAAGTCTATAAAAGGAGGGGTGATGGGTGATAGTTGCTAGTCGTCAATTATCTAAGATGGGTGAAGTTGGATGTGTGAAAGGGTTATGGAAGGTCTAATGGTTGATGGTTAAAAGCGAAATAAATGTGCTAGACATCAAAGGTCATATAGCACTATAGGAAGGTATAGTAAAGGGGGATGTCAGGTGATAGTTGCTATGCGTCATCTAGAGTAATGTTGAAAGATTGAAGCTGGGTAAAGGGTTGATGAGGGAAAAGGTTATGGTGGTTTAGGTTCGGGAGTTAGATCAAGTGAAGGATATTTATGCGTCTGAAGGAGGAGAACAGGTTGTCGAGGCAGAAGCTGTGGTGGTGGAGAGATGTAGGATGTAATCTATTACACGTTTTGCATGTGCTCCCTTTGACGGCAGTATCTTGACATGCGTCCTCTCTGTAGACCTCTTCACAATTCCTCAACATTCCTCTTGTAACTGTGGGAAAATAGGTAATGGTTAAAAGCAAAATAAATGCACTTGACTTTCCTCTTGTAAGGTGTAAAACTGGAAATAGGTAATGGTTAATGGTTAACAGCAAAATAAATGTGCTATACATTATAGGAAAGTATACTGAAGGATGGGTGAAGGGTGATAGTTTGCTATGCGTCAACCTTCTATAGCAATATTGAAAGGTTAAAGATGGGTAAAGGAGTTGATGATAGAACTGTGGAAAATATATAATGGCTTGTTAAAGCAATGTAAGTGATATTTACATTGTATATGAAATACATACAAAGTTAAATGTTTAGTTTCAAAAGAAGTAATGATTAAGTTACACTAGGTTGTATAGAGAATATTATAAAGGGGTATCCCATCTATAAGTCCACTGTAGCAACAGTCGGCCATTACAGGGAGCCTCAGAGGCAGATTAGATGTAATTACTTGATTATACAAATATTTGCAGATAATGTCATGCATTTTATATAACACAGAATGGAAATATATGTGTAAAGATTGTTTATGTTTTTAGATGTTTTATGTTTTAGATCTCATATATTATGAGGAAGAAATTGTTTCATTTCAGTTTTACAAACGTGGAAGAAATTGTTTCATT